GCTTCTTTTGTTGATGACCTACCTCCAGCAAAATTTCATTAAGCCAAAATCCTCATTTACCACATTGCTCCCAGTCCCATGTTCAAGACTGATTCTGTAGGAAAGAAAAGATTTCTCCAAGCCTTCCTCACCAATACTGTGGACAGTTGTAGTAAGATCTCTTTATTTTAATAATTCAATCATTTTATACTTAAAAACTAATAACATTTGGCATTTTTGAGTGCTTGCTGTGTCTGTACATTAACTTGCTACGATACAAGAATATCAAGCTCCCCCAAACATCAAACATTCTCTGTCTCTCACCATTCAAAGAAAATTTTTTTTTAAACTTTTTTAAACTTTTTAAACTTCATACTTTACTATATGGTCCATGTGCTTTTGTCTTGCCATACATCCAATCGATCTATATACTCTGCATCCTCCTCACTGATTACTTTCCTACCTCTATCATCAGCAAACTTTGATTTGTTACATACCGTGCTTTTATCAAAGCCATTCTTAATATAGATTGTAAATGCGTACTGATCTTTGTGGTGCTATGGACCAGACCAGATCCCCTCAAAATATTTCAAGAAGGTAGTCTAGACCCTAAATTTTTCTTATTTTAAAGGAAAATGTAAAGTACTGCATTCCAGATACAATGCAACTGGTCAAACTACTCTATGTTAAATAAAGCACAACTTATTTAAACACTATAGTTAAAAGACAACAACAGAAAAAGAGGAATTTATAATAACTTAACCAAATAATAGATACAGTAACTATTACTAATTATTTGTTCCAATATAACATCCTATAAACACACCCTTGACAAAAAGGCAAATTCAGAAATTAGATTTTCTCACATGCAACACAGCAGCAGAGAGAGAGAAAAATATGAAGGAAAAGCTCAGAAAGAGTAGCAGCCAGGAGACCCTTACTGCAGCTTCCAACCCTGGTGAGAATCAACCAGTAACAGATGCTGAATCTTAAAGCTAAAAAACTAAAAACTGTATGTCCCGTCTGTAAGAGCTGGCCACACACATCCAGGCAGCTTCTATTGTTCCAACTTTAAACAAAAGCCCAAGGCCTCACGAACTGTTTACTTTACTGGCTTTCCAACTAGACAGCTCAGTATCACTGTCTCAAAACCTCTCTTTTTAAAAAAAATTAGGACAAAATAAACTCTTAAAGTCATAGCACCATCACAGTGCTATCCAACTAGTTACAATTGGCCAACTCAAAAATGTTAAATGTATTCCCACTTCCTGCTTTCTACCTGTTAACTAATCTTCTATCCCAACAAATACTCAATCCCATGAGTCATAATCTTGTGAAAAAAATCTATTTTTTCATGGCAACTTATCAATTTGTTTGTTTGAAAATTCAAACATGTTACATCTGCTGGTTCCTCCTCATCTCTCTTAGTAGTAATATCTTCAAAAATGCAAATAGTTGTCTTAATCATATTAAGATTTTTCTAGGGGCCATGATATCACATCCCTAATAATGAATTCTAGCATTTTATGTTAACTGGCATCAAGTTTCCAGTGTTCCTCTTCAGGTTTTTCTCGACTAACTAGGCTATGTATGCTACTGTATAATCCTTGGGAGATCTAGAATTGAAGGAATTTGGTAATATCAAAACAAACACACGCACTACCTCTGCAGCTCGCTCTTGCACCTGTAACAAGACAAAACTCTATGCCAAGGGTACAGTATTGGAATTTGACAATGAAAACATCAGTATTCTGGTATGCTTGTTCTATTTTACAACTACGTAACAAGTAATGTTTACCCTAAACATGATGCCATTTTAAGCAATTTTCACACTAAATGAGACTGTAGAAAATAAGCTCCTATGGTTTTGGTTGGGGATTGGGCTAAAGCTTTGACAGAGACACTGAAGTAATCTAATGAAAATTGCTGGAATAAATAGACTCTTGGGTTCAGCGTTAGAAGCCCTAGGTATAGAAATTGGTTTAGTCAAATTAAGTCACCTTTGTTAACTTTGCTTATTTTTGTACAATTTAAAAGCAGAGAAAAAAATACAATTCACTCAATGTTGGTTATAATTTTTTATGCGTTCACTTCTGGGTGAAAGTACATTTAATGTCAATTGTTATTGGCAGGTAGGTGACATGTTCTATGGGGCTTAACACAACACAAAGATCCATTGAGATCAAAGGACTAAAAGCACCATGACGTCTCTTACTGGCCTAGCGTGAGTTTTCACTTGCTCGGTAGATCGTTGTGATGACATTTTTTTTGTAGGCAGACTACTAGTTACCTTATCTTATTCGTATGTAGATCTTCCAACTTTTCCACTAAGTATACAAACCTTCTAGCGAGATTTATTACGTGGAATTTATTATACAAGAAACTACATCTGGCACTTTACTACTATTTAGCTGTAATTGTATCTTGCATGTTGCAATAGATGGCGCTGCTGAGAGGCATGGTGAGCTGGTGACTGAGGGCAAATATTGACCAGTTGCAACTGTGCGGAGTACTTTTTAGGCCATGTTTTAAATGTTTCCATCGCATGCTGAGGTTGTCGGTCATCATTGCATTAAGAAGGTATGCTACAGAGTTATTCATGCACAAAATAGTTGAAAAAAAAACACTAAGGGAAAACAATCGAATAAAGAGTAAATTCATTATCGAAAAAATAAGTTTCACTCTAATAGGTTCACAATTACAAATGAGTTGTCAAAAACCTTGTAGATCATTGAACTTTCTCAGAATGGAAATCAATTTGGTTTGACTGTTTCAAAAGGTGTTTTGAAGTTGCAATGTTTGTTACACATATAATTCCGTTTCAAATACATATCAATAACATGACTTGACGCCATACTTATAAATCACTTATCAAAGACTTAAAAGTATATAAAAAGGGCAGGTGGATGGCTGGAAGTTTACATTGTTGGCGGGGGCGCAGACTTGGGTAAGGGGAGGGCAGAAGTCGGAGGGTCACTATAGATTCTGAAGTAGCAATAAAATGTGCAATGCTCAACCTCCTGCCTCTGTTACTAACGGCGAAGTGTTGTCTGAAGTGGTTTTAATTTACAACTTCCTCTGCTTTAGTTGAGTAAGCTATACAGTCATAAAGTCCTATGAAGACAAAGATAAAGTGAATCTTGCAAGAGAAAACCTCGTATGTTTAACTAAGGATTTATCCCGAAACGGTCAATAAAATGAATAACAGGGTGACATAATAGAAACAAGGAAATGGAAATCGAGATCAAAAGGCACTGACAAATGAAGAAGCTCACAAGCCATACAAGGCCCACGTGTTACATGAAGTTTCTTACACTTTTGATATTGTGCATTTACCTGAAAGTGCGGATTATTTTAGGTGGTTCTGAAGTGGATGAGACAACTTCATGTCGGCAGCACGCATGTTTTACCAACTTGAAAGTGAAACAGTTCGCAAACACAAACTTAATTCAGTTTTCTGTAAAACACATTATGTTACCAGACTTAAACGGAAGGGATATTTCTCAATATATACCGTTATCTCCCACTGAATAAATTCAATTATCACGTTAGACTATTGTTTAAAAAGATATGAATATGCTTGCTTCACATGATACGATTTCTGCTTCACAGACCTTTAGTATAAGTAACTTTTCAGACACCATAAACGTGCATTCCAGCTGTAAAAGTATGTTTACAGACGTCATGGCTGATCATGTCCAACCTATACAATACCATCTAAAAATCCGTTTTAATTGCATTAATACTTATTGCGTTTCTCATAAAATGCACTTGTATCTGCTGACAGCTGTCTAGCGTAGCCGAAAGCAAATTATATTCTATGTTGGTCATTTTTTGATGTTAAACAGAGCTGAACTTTTTAAACTGTGTATGGTTTTCTCTATATACGGTTTAATTAGCGTTGTAATTTGCCTACGCATCCTTGCCACATTTAGAACTGGAAGCTTTACTCTAAAAGGGACATCGATGCGTTTAAAGTTAAATAAAGGAGACATAAGTGCATATAAAGTTGAAAGGAAAAGAAAAGAAAACTTTAGTTTAAATACATTGTAATAATCTTTCAACTATTTATCAAAGTGTAAAGGTTACTGGCAAATCTTAAGTTTAGCTTTCATAGATTTAATTCAATTATCCTGCTTCCTTCCTGCACCCAACTTGGTTACTTTTTTTTTCAAACAAACACCAATAAATAAATAATTACATTCATTAAATGTGAAATCTTCGAATTCTTGTCTCTACATGTTATTACTTATTGAGCATTGACTAAATAATGCTACAGAAGGAAGACCTTGTGTGCCTGTTTGAAGTGATTTTTAAACAATGACCGATACATCTATTGATGAACAAATGTGCACATCATTTTAAGTAGATAACAATTTCATTTTACTTCAAGGCAAGGTATTTATTGTGTAACCTCCACGTGTAAAATTGCACAGCATATAAATAGCAGTATAAATCGCATTAGGCGGTGGTTCAAACGATTTTTGTTTAACAATCTCACATTTTAACTGTTGAGCATAAATTTGGTGAGGAATTTGCGAATACTTTCATTTCTCCAACCCGTACACTAAGAAGTTTTGCTTACCTGGAAAGTTAAAGCCGTGAGCAAGAACAGAACCACATAAATCAGTCACTAAATCCATAACCAACTGTTTAAACCCAGTGTTTCTCCAAGCTAATACGGTTATTCCAACTGATATTCTGTAATCAAAACTTGAATCATAGCCCTGGATAATCAATCTTCCATTTTTTGACTTGTGAAAAGCTTCGAGGGAAATATAAACGCAAAAGTAAGTTATGTAAAAATGGCTAAAATGTGTGTATTTGCTTAACATGAATCTGCTAAAAACAGAAAATGCCTATGTAGAATGCCGATGCTTAAATATTTCAGGTTTTAGGATTTTCACCTTTTGAGAACACGTTCATAAAAATACTTGGCGCACCCTGAATAATTCCTGTTGATATGAAACTCTTTTTAAGAGCAAACGCAAGAAAAGATCAAGTCAAACCGACCCAGCAGGGAGCAGTTTAATTTAAGCCAAACGGATTTTTTTTTTATTTTCACACCAGTATAAGGTCGTTTCAGTTTACACGAGTGCGGAGTTTAAAAAGCATGCTAGAACTCCCCATTGAGCTAGGATAAAGGCAAAACACTTTCATTCAATCAAAGCTATTAAATACTCTATGCACAGCAGTTATTATCTTTCACCAAAGACGCCGTTGAAATCCTCGAGTTAAAGAACTTGCGTTATTTAACGTCCCTATAAATATATACAACTTCGTAACGAAGCATAGCGACCAACTGTGAAATTAACTGAAGCATGTTTATATGAAAGTATTTACAGAAATACCTTCCTTTCACTTAAAATATTCTTTTTTCAAGGATATTGCACCACCAAAGCTATTTGTTGCATCGACAGCCCGCACAGTCTTGTTTCAGTACCCCACCCCCACTATTCAGTTGTGCCCTGGCATATTCCCATCTTCCCTTTTCACATTTTCCACGCTAAGTTTTGTTTTTTTGTTTTGGTGAGTTTTAACGTGCTTCGCCAGATGGTCGCTTCTCATAAATCTCTTGCCACATTCTGGGCAGGCAAACCGTTTCTCCCCAGTGTGAGTCCTCAGATGCCTCTGGAGCTCGTCTGATCGAGTGAAACTTTTGCCACAGAACAACCAGTTGCAGACGAAGGGCCTCTCGCCGGTGTGCCATCTCAGGTGAGCCTTCAGGTGAGACGTCTTGCCATAAACCTTCCCGCACCCCGGAATGTGACAAATGTGCTGCTTCTTCTTCCCGGGCTCATCTCCACTGCTCGAAGACTGGCAATTGGGACAGCGGCACCTTCTGCACCTCCTGGCAGTAGCCATAGGAGATTTCGTGTGGAGAAGGGCCGCGATCTGGGTTTGATACTGGGCGAAGTCTGAATGACCCAAAACCAAGGATCGTTGGAGAGGGAAACGATGAGGTGCAATGGATGAGGCATGGTTGGAGCTGCTACTCTGCTGGATGCTCCACCACGGGATGTCCTCCACTTGGTTGGGTGACATATGCCTGTGTTGATGAGAAAGTAAAGGGGATCCAGTTGGGACAAAGCTTGACATAGCTGAACTGATAGGAGTCGGCGTACCATAGTTGACCGCGGGGACGTAGGTTGGCTGGCAGCTTGAAGCTAAGGTCTGCATAGATGAAGGCAACATTTTGACGGGGGAGAGCTCGAATGGGTACGACGGCTCTGCCGGCGGAGTTAGAGGAAGTTCATGAGACCCATAGGACGCCTGAATATGAGGCGGTAGCTGATGAACCTTCGGAGGAGTTAAAGTTAAACTGGAGTGGGATGAAATCCCCCCTGGGTTAGCCGGGATCTCGTTACTCCAAGGGTGAAAAATGCGGGACGGGGAGCTCAGGGTGGGTTCGTAAGGGACCTGGAAGAGATCAGTATGCGTTGACCCAGTCTGTCCGATCCGATTGCATGTTGCAGCTAAGAGGGCCAGTGGAGACTGCTTGGCGGACTCCGGAGAAGAATTTGGCGTACGATCCTGAGAAGTGAAACAAGAAGGGGAGAAAAAAAAAGTTCTGATCAATTGAAACTTAACAGCAAGGGTTCAAACTCTGTTCAAGTCCTGGTATAACTTTGTCTGGGAAATACTATGTACACGTTTCAAAACAAAAATGACCCGTTCTGTTGTAACAAAACTTAATAAATGTTAAAAAGTACGAACCTGGAGAAAAGCTTGCAGAGAATCATTGCGTAGAACAGCCACAGCAGCCATTCCCTATACAAATTGTTGAAAGGAGACTCGATTCAAGGTTTCAAGCTGTACTAAAGGGAATCAGTCGCATAGAGAGCTTTCTTTCCTCCTGCTATTCGGAGATATCCTTGGAATATCTGTGGTCGAGGGATCACTTCTTAGAATTTGATAAGACTTTGGTAGACCGCCAGCCAGTCAGGGGAAAGATTTATGGCTTTGAAGTTTGCCGCTGCCCAATCATCAAAGAATAGCGGGTCTTTCAGAAGGGAAACCAAATCCTTTGAATACACAAAGCTCCTATGGCGTGTTTGTTGGTATGTATAAAAGAACTGATTATTAGGGGGGATGGTAAAGGAGGAGATAAAGGCGGGACAATTAATGAAGTAATCACTATGTGGGAAATGTATATACACAAATAATTGGATTTACGTGATCAAAGCACGGCTGCCGCCAGGAGACCATTGCATTGGATGTTTAAGTCAGATGATCTCTTTTTTGTAATTAAGGATTTGTTGCACAGCCCGAAGTGACAATGTGCCTTTGTTATCTTCACCAAGTCTCTTCCAACATTACTGCGTTGATGACTTTTAGCAAATAAAAGCAATTGGAGATGAATCGGCCAACTCGGCATCACGGACAGGATAGTTCTGCTCGAAGTGTAAAGGAGTTGCTGACTTCAGAAAAGTTTAATAACATTGCCGAGATATACAATATTAAAGACACGCTGTGTACTAAACATCTGAAAAGGAAGAACCCATATCTTTCAGAAACGTTAAAAGTACAATGCCACATTTATCTGCGTTGGAACAGTAACATGCACACCCCTTCCCCTCCAGCTTTCATAAAGGTGTCATTGTATTGGAAATATTTAACAATATGAATAAAAACTGGCCGTTTATAACCATATTGTCAATAGCCAGCGTCACTTCAAAGCACGTTAAACTATACAGTGCCCACCAAACATATTCAACACGCCATAGTAAGTCGAAGTTACTTGCTTAAAGCAAACGGATGGGATGATTTATTCCTGTGCCAAATTTAACCCATTGTAGCGTGTGTATTTCAATAGTTTAACTAAATGGAACCGGTTAAGGTTTCAATATCATTGAAATGGGCAAATCAAAATCGTGTAACGGTAACGAGACAAACATATAACTCTCTCAAACTTTCTCTATCCTGTTCCCTAAAATGGTCACTCTACTGGAACGTCAAAAGCGTGAAGTTTTGAGTCCCTGAGTGGAGAGATCAGAAGCTGAATGTGAAGGCTGTTGATAGCTCTGTTAAGTCCCTAAAGTGGTGGCAATGTGAAAGACTGCGGAGGCGGAGCAGCTCGGTTCAAGGAAAGTGGAAACAATTTCGCTCTTCTCCGCCTGATCTCCGCCTTAAGCAGCTTTTCAAATACTCCAACCCAACGTTTGCTGTGGAATCACTAGTTGATATCTTTACAGAAGTAAAATATAATGCTTATTTACATAATTTGTCAAGTAAAACTTAATTATGCTAGTTATCGCCATGTGACCAAACAAAACATACGTAGTATCCTATAAACTTTCTATTTATTTAGTATAGCAACCAAAATCAACTGCTTGATTAGTGGAAATAAGTTGGACTCATCCAGTTAATTGGTCAACCTTGTTACTTTTACAAATAAAATCAATTAAACCAGAAACCATACTTGTATTTTTTAATGGGGCGTGCTGGTATTCTGCATTGGCTAAGTAGGTAGTTCGCACATTTGTCTGTTAAGGACACTCAAACTAAGTATACAGTGTTGTTGTCATAGGTCACGGTGTTAGCCCGGTGGTACATACAGATATTCAAAAATGAACTGATTACTAACGTTCAAGAAACAAGCTAAGATTCACATGTTAGGTTAACTTTAAAAAAGTGTTAAAAAAAACTATTGCGGTCTTCCTTCAGGTAACATGATACTGACAGCAGTCGTTAACTTCAATTGTATTCACATTGTAAACGAAATCCTTCTAAATGATAACACACAGAGATCTTTATCATCCTTCCTGTAGCAACAATCGGTGTCCTCTCAAAGACTTTTGAGACTTGCATAGTTTTAAACGGGGCGGCTCTTTTGAAGGGATTAAAGTGCAAAGTCCTCTCCCACGGCTCCAGAATCAGTCGTGGTAAGATGGGAGTTTCACGCTGCGCCAGGGTACTGTCAAGTTAATGCATTTAACTTGGGTTTTGCTTACTTGTTCTTTATTATTTTAAAATGTGCTATACATGAAGTGGCTTGAGGACATGGATAAGAAATTGAATTCCAAAAAAATGGTGTCACTAACGTTTAAGGAATATACCTTGATCAAAATTACTTTAAAGCATCTTCAAAAATAAAACATCTTGCCCTTTTCCGACTTCATAAAGTAGTCTCGACATAGGCAGTTTCACATGGCAGTAAAACACAATCAGCTATTATTTTTGTTTATGGGTCAATGAAATTTCATGCAGCAGTTTCTGCAAGACCAAAAATAATGTTTAAACTTTCTAGGAAGCTTGATTATTTTTTAAAAAAGACTGATGTTAGTTACATTTTATTTTAATAGTTGCAATTTGCTTAGATAGGTTGGTTCCTCGAAAGTAAAAAAAGCAAGACCTGGGTGTGTAACTCTGAGCTTTTTTAATGTTATGTAGTTAAATTGGCCTTCTATCACATGGTTTGTGCCTCTAGAAATATTTTAATAAGACACATACCTGCTTGCCGATTTGGAAAATTGAATTGAATATTTTATGGTAGAACTAATCCAGGAATAGCACAACTAATCTGGCAAATGTGGCACTATTGACATTAGGTGATATAAAAATTCAAATGAATAGAAAACTAGATAACATTCCATACACATTTTATTGAACTTGATGCCCTTATTGAAACATTGATTACTACCACCAGCTTTCACACCATCAACAGACTACAAATGCATATTCATTGGAAATGGATAATACAATAATTCAAGTTCAATGCTAATATGCTCTGAGACATCCAACCATGTTTCACATCACATCAACATGCTAATCAAAAGTACTCACCTGGTGAGTAAACCAAGGCATGTTTCAATTTAATAACAAACATGACTTTTCACATTAAAATCTTTGAACATTTGTTGCATAAAATTTAATTTCAATCAAAAATGCTTTGTAAAAGTAGTTCAGATTTAATGACCATACGAATAGGATAGACAATGCATTTGATTTAGCAAACATCACTTGATGAAATTCAACAAGAAAATAGATTCTAGATGTACTTTGTTTTCATCCAAACTAAAGTTACCACAAAATGAGACATAAATTTAGTGTTTTGAATTATGAGATTGACTGCTGACTCCATGTTGCAAATAGTGTTAATAATAAACTACTTTGATACGAGTGGCACAAAATGAGTAGCATGTTACTTTGGATTCCAATTCAACACCAAATGAAAGCATAATATTTATCACAGAAATCATCAGTTTATCCACTATTCAATACAACAATTGTGTGATAACTGTTCAAGCTTATTTAAACATCAAAATGCACAATTTGCTCATGTTTCTTGGCTTCAAATTTGATCTGAGGAAAAAAGAGAAATAAAACCATTTGGTAGCTCATCTTTAAAGATAAACAAAAGATTGTTTGACAAGAGTTCAAGAAGTTTCCGACTCCACTAAATTCAATTTTAATAAAGAATTAAACAAGAATCTTGTAAGAATGTTATGTTACAATTCATTCATATCTACTGTAAATTATGTTGGAAATCTAAAATAAGACTAATACAAAGAAATTGTAACGCCTTTGATAGCTAGCTAAAAACTACGTATACATGTTCTACAAATAGGTATCATCCATTATATTTTTGGGTTAATTCACATGAAAAAAAATCAGAATTCTAATTATCAACACAAGAATTGTTGGTACAGTATCTTTCCTAAGATAAGTGCATGCAAGTATAGAAATGTTATCAGTCCTATTCCAAATGCAATGATTGATATAGAACCTGAGCTTTCTTGCCACAGTAAAGAAAATTCTGTATGTTAACAGTTAAGAATATGTGAAAGTGGAATGCTGTTCCTCTGTTCTACTTCAAGACATTTTATTCCGCTTTTTTCTATCTGTTAGAGTACAGTTTTATATAAGGACTAATTACTTAGGGCATCAATCTACATCTATATAGGTAAGTTTAATGAAAATTGTGGGTCATTTTAAATAGGTTCAGCGACACACTATCAATCATCATATACATACCAACTCTTAATAGTACATAATCATAACTGTTGACTAGCTCAGTGAATCATTACATTTTTAGATTGCATTTATACTTCAGTATATGAATGGAATAAATTGTTCTGATGAATTTAGACTCAGGAAATCAATTTATACTAGCTTTTATAAGGTCGGGTCCTATTTCCTGCATTTCAAATCAAATAGTAGTTGTTGTTGTAGGACGACAAACATGGGTTGGTACAGTCATATATGGAATGCATATACACAAGTCAGTTTGCAAAATTAATCAATGATGAAAAGGATTTGCAGCATTACCTTTAAAAGGAATATCTAATTGGAATTTTATTTAAAAGTTACAGAATAATCTTCATTCCAATTTGTATGAATCCTAACTACAGAAGACACTTATGTATGAAATCAGCAGTTTGGATATAAAATCTCCAACTGCTTTATCTCACATTAATTGCATGAATTACGGTTTACACAACAATTTAAGAGTTGCACTGGAGTGCACAATGTTTCACTGTAATATTAAAGTTGGTATACAACATACCACTAAGAATAAGATTTGGAATCAATTTGAGGATCCCAAAGCACTGTTCAATATGGTCAGTCCAAGCAGCATTGTTTGTACCTCTTTATATTGATTGAAAAGGAAGGAAGTCTTCACCGAAAGAACCCATTCCCGGTGGACAGGATGAGACACCAAAATTTTGCTTCCAAAAATCTGTAATTTCTACACTTGTGTAAACTCATGTAAGATGCTTTAAGAGTCCATTTCCTTCCCTTCTTATGGCAAATGAGAAGCCTCACAAAGCACCCACCTTTACTTTCACAACTCCAACCAGGAATCATGTCATAATCACAAGAATTTGCTCATATCCCACTACTATACAGCACAATAAATTAATTCACAATCGTGTTGTACTTTCACAGAAAATGACCCATGTAAATTTACATGTAAAGATACAGATTGACTCAAATCACTAAATACTGACAAAATAACCTCTGTAAAAATGTGAATTAAAGCAAACGGAATTAAAAAAATGTATTGAAACAGAAAGGAAGAACAAAAGAAAGTGTTGTAATGTTTCAGGCTAGGCACTGCTAAGATTTATTTGGCAGTTTGTCTAATCATCCTACTGCACTTGGTAGACAGCTCCTGATATTTTCCAGCAAAGTGGAGAACTAATTTTCTATAAATATGCTATTATATATAATCTGCAGGGATTTAGAGTTAAAAAATTGATTTATATTTCCCAAATTACATTGATATCATAGTGATTTTCTGCACATTAACATAGTCTACTAAGTCTTGCAGTTGTAACTTTAGTGCAATACTTAAGATACATATATTGAATTATTTTATCAAATAGGCATCACAAATATGTTTATTCAGTTGTATTTTGAGAAAAATACTAATCATTATACTAGTTTGGTTTGAAACTCGAGAATTCAAAGCATTCTGGTTCTAAATAAAAGGTGACTTTTTCTGTTGCCTTTTTGTGTATGAGCAGATAACTGCGTATGATATGGGTTGGTAATTTAAAATTTCCAAGGGCATGAATTAAATCTGTGCAGCCATTTAAAAAATATATAAAAAATTACATTCATTTCAGTTCTGTCTCATGTGAAGGAAAAGTCTACGAAACCTCAAAATAAATAAGTTGCTTACCCCAATGCATTTGGTTAAATCATGTACCACCACATGCTACTATCAAAAATTGGCTGTAAATTGTCAGGCATTAAGAAAATATTGGTTTAACTGTTTTTTTTTGCATTGATGCAGAAGGAATAACATATATTGTAATTAGCAATTTAAGTTATAAACCAAGGTAAGACAGAAGATAGCATAAATCCATTGAATTTGGAAAAGACCTTGATTTCAATTATACAGGCATCAATATGGTGAGAACATGTTTAAACATTTTCAGGCCATAATGAAATATTCAGGCTATAAGTGATGTGACTAAAATCTCATCCAGTTATACACACTT